ATCAGATGGAAAGAGATGGGAAGAGATGGGAAGAGATGGGAAGAGGAACGGTATGGCGGAGAATGGACACAGAAAGTTTGAAATGGAGGGGCGCTGTTTTAATAAAGAGAGAGAGAGAGAGAGAGAGAGACACACACACACAGAGAGAGAGAGAGAGAGAGAGAAAGCAAAAAATATAATGCAGTGGAAAAAAAGGAAAGAAAAGAATGTAGTATGAAAAGACAACTGTCAATAAAATGTAGTAGAAATAAAGAGTAGAGAATAGAATATAGCAGAAATAGGGAGCAGAGAATAGAATCTAGCAGAAATAGGAAGCAGAGAATAGAAATTAGAAATTGGAAGCAGAAAATAGAATCTAGTAGAAATAGGGAGCAGAAAATAGAATCTAGTAGAAATAGGAAGCAGAGAATAGAATCAAGTAGGAATAGGGAGCAGAGAATATAATGTAGTAGGAATAGGGAGCAGAAAAAAAGAATGTAATAATTCTGGGGAGCAGAGAAAAGAATGTAATAGGAGAAAAGGGCAAAGAAAAGGATGTAAAGACAGTTGTCAATAAATATGAAAAGTCAGCTGTCAATAGAATGTAGTAGGAATAGGGAGTAGAGAATAGAATTTATTAGAAATTGGAAGCAGAAAATAGAATCTAGTAGAAATAGGGAGCAGAAAATAGAATCTAGTAGAAATAGGGAAGCAGAGAATAGAATCTAGTATAAATAGGGATCAGATAATAGAATCTACTAGGAATAGGGAGCAGAGAATATAATCTAGAAGTAATAGGGAACATAATCTAGTAGAAAAAAGGAGCAGAGAATAGAATCTAGTAGAAATAGGGAGCAGCGAGAAGAATGAAGTAGGAATAGAGAGCAGAGAAAAGAATGTAGTAGGAGGAAAGAGTAGAGAAATAGAGAAAATGTAGCTGGGGTTTGTCCAAGTTAGTGGTCGAAGCCGGACAAGTTTCCGACTGACATGGCATTTCACGCCCATTGAACATGTTTAAACAGGGAAATGTGAGATAGGAAAGCTTGAAGGGTGGGTGGGGTACGTCATGGCCATCATAGGCCAAACACTGGCTGGGGTGGGGGACGTCATGGCCATCATAGGTCAGACACTGGCTGGGGGATGTCATGGCCACCGTAGGTTAGACACTGGCTGGGGTGGGGGACGTAATGGCCATGATAGGTAAGACACTGGCTGGGGTTTGAAGGGTGGGTGGGGTACGTCATGGCCATCATAGGCCAAACACTGGCTGGGGTGGGGGACGTCATGGCCATCATAGGTCAGACACTGGCTGGGGGATGTCATGGCCACCGTAGGTCAGACACTGGCTGGGGTGGGGGACGTAATGGCCATGATAGGTAAGACACTGGCTGGGGTGTGTGACGTCATGGCCATCATAAGTCAGACACTGGCTGAGGTGGGGACGTCATGGCCATCATAGGTCAGATACTGGCTGGTGCAAGGGATGTCATGGCCATTGTAGGTGTAGAACTGTCTGGGGTGGGGGAGTCATGGCCAACGTAGGTCAGACACTGGCTGGCATGGAGGATGTCATGGCCATCATATGTCAGACACTGGATGAGGTAGGGGGACGTCATGGCCATGATAGGTCAGACACTGGCTGAGGTGAGGGACGTCATAGCCATAATAGGTCAGACACAGGCTTGGGTGGGGGACGTCATGGCCATCAAAGGTCAGAAACTGGCTTGGGTGGGGGACATCATGGCCACCGTAATTGCGACACTGGCTTGGATGGAGGACGTCATGGACATGATACGTAAGAAACTGGATGGGTGGGGGACGTCATGACCATCATAAGTTAGACATTGGCTGAGGTGGGCGACGAAATGTCCACAGTAGATCAGACACTGTCTGGATCTGGGGACACCATGGCGACCGTAGGTCAAACACTTGCTGGGGTGGAGGGCGTCATGGCCATGATAGGTCAGACACTGGCAGTGGTGGGGATGTCATGGCAATCATAGGCAAGACACTGCCTGAGGTGGGGACGTGATGGCCATCATAAGTCAGACACTGACCGAGGAGGGGACGTTATGGCCATCATAGGTCAGACACTGGATAGAGTGTGGGAGTCATGGCAATCAAAAGTCAGACACTGGCTGGGGTGGGGGTCGTCATGGCCATCATAAGTGAGACACTGGCTGGGGTTAGGAGATTTTGACCATCATAAGCCAGAAACTGGCTGGGGTGGGGGACGTCATGGCCACGATAGGTCAGACACTGGAAGGGATTGGGGACGTCATGGCCATCATAGGTCAGACTCTGGCTGGGGGGATGTCATGGCCATTATAGGTCAGACACAGGTTAGGGTGGGGGACGTCATGGCCACCTAGTTCCGACACTGGCTGAGGTGGGGGATGTCATGGCCACCTTGTTCCGACACTGGCTGAGGTTAGGGATGTCATGGCCATCATATGTCAGACACTGGCTGAAGTGGGGGACGTCATGGCCATCATAGGTCAGACACTGTCTAGGGTAGGAGACGTCATCACTATCATAGGTCAGACACTGGCTGGGGTGGGGACGTCATTGCCATCATATGTGAAACATTGGCTGGGGTGGGGGACGTCATGGCCATCATAGGTCAGACACTAGCTGGGTTGGGGATGTCATGGCCATCATAGGCCAGACACTGACTGAGTTCGGGAGTCATGGCCACAATAGTTAAGACACTGGCTTGAGTGGGGGACGTCATGGCCGTCGTAGGGCAGACACTGGCTTGGGTGGGGGACGTCATGTCCACAGTAGGTTAGACACTGGCTGGGGTGGAGGATGTCATAGTAACAGTAGGTCAGACACTAGCTGAGGTGGGGACGTCATGGCCATCATAAGAAATTGGCTGGGGTGGGGGACGTCTTGACTATCATAAGTCAGACACTGGCTGGGGTTGGGGAGCTCATGGCCATCAAAGGTCAGACACTAGCTGGGGTGGGGAACGTCATGGTCATGATAGGTCAGACACTGGCTGAGCTTGGGGTCGACATGGTCATCATAAGTCAGACACTCGCTTGGATGGAGGACGTCATTGCCATCATAGGTCAGATACTGGCTGGTGCAAGGGATGTCATGGCCATCGTAGGTGTAGACACTGTCTGGAGTGGGGGAGTCATGGCCACCATAGGTCAGACACTGGTGGGGTGAGGGACGTCAAGGCAACCGTAGGTCAGACACTGGCGGAGGTGGAGGAAGTCATGGCAACTGTAGGTCAGACACTGTCTGGGGGTGGAGGACATCATGGCCACCGTAGGTCAGACACTGGCTGAGATTGGGGACGTCATGGCTACTGTAGGTCAGGCACTGGCTTGGGTGGAGGACGTCCTGACCACCGTAGGTCAGACGCTGGCTTGGGTGGAGGACGTCAAGGCTAACGTTGGTCAGACACTGTCTGGGATGAGGGATGTCATGGCCACTTTTTTCTTTGGAGAACTCACGATAGGCAAGCGCTCCCTAGGAGGCCAAAAAAGCGTTACAAAGACTCACTGAAAGTGGCACTAAAGGCCTTCAGCATAAACACTACTCAATGGGTGCAGACAGCCCAGGACAGAGCCAGATGGAGAGCTGCTGTCAAGAAGGGGGCTAAATCCCATGAAGCTAAGAGAATAACCACAGCTGAGACACGCAGGCTTGTCCGAAAGAGCAACATTAGGTCATCGTCTGAAGCAACTATTCCATGCCCACGGTGTCATAGATTATTCCGTGTAGAGAATAACCACAGCTGAGACACGCAGGCTTGTCCGAAAGAGCAACATTAGGTCATCGTCTGAAGCAACTATTCCATGCCCACGGTGTCATAGATTATTCCGTGCAAGGATCGGTCTAACAAGCCATCTAAGAGCTCACCGTAATCCCAACCCCCCCGCCCGCCCCTAACTGGATGATTCGATGGTCCTTGTCGACTTCGACGGACGAACAACAAAAACAACAACATGTCAGACACTGGCATGGGTGGGGGACGTCATGGCCATCTTAGGTCAGACACTGGATTGTGTGGGGGGCGTCTTGGCCATCATCTACAAGTGATATGTCTTACAAATGATAGGCCAACAGGTGATATGTCTTACAAATGATAGGCCTACACTCAGCTTCTAGGTTAGTTCTAAAGGCAAAGAAACGTGATCACGTCGCTCCGCTCTTTCATTCACTTCCTTGGCACGCATTGATTACAAGCTGTCTGTTCTCTGTCACGACTTTTTCTCTGGTTTCTGCCCTTTCTATCTTACTGAACTTCTTTCTGTCTATTCACCCCTTCGAAAGCTTCCTTCCTCCGCAGACACGCGTTTTCTTTCTGTTCGCAGAACACGCACTAAAACATATGGTGAACGATCTTTCTGTGCCTCAAAACAATGGAATTCTCCCCCCTTGCACATCCGCAATATATCGACCACCCCATCCTTCAAAAATGCCCTCAAGACCATCTATTCAAACTGTACTATACCGGCTCATTCTCACCCCCGTCTGACTGATAAAAAAACGCTCGATTCTGCTGGATGCTGTCCATGGCTAGACATGGGTAGATGGTACTTGAGTGGGTGAGGTCAAGCTTTTCACCAATTGTTGTTTTTAAACGTATACGTTTCTGTAATTGCAAATTTGTATATGAAGCGCAGTCAACCTAGCCATAGGCTGGGGTACTGTGCTAAATAAAATCACCCAATAATAATAATTTTTATAATTAAATTTAAAAAAAAAAATAAATAATAATAATAATTTAAAAATCACGCTTCATCCTTAAAGGCTCGAAGCACGGTACATACCACATTGAAGTACAAAACCCAACATAACAAAACTACATACAAGAATACCCATTCCAAGTCTTTCATACCTTGCAACCATAAACAACACAGGCCAATTAACACTTATCTGAAATGTAGTATCTGATAGGGCAGACACAGGATTGTGCGACTGACCATAAGGATGAATTGAGACAGTAATGGATGAAAAAAAAAATTAAATGTGATTTTTAAGACCACAAAGACAAATAATTAACTGTTTAATATTTTAAATATAAATATTTGTATACACAATCTCTTTTCTTAATTTCTTAACATAAATAAATAGAATTGTACAAGCTTAACAACCAAATATTGTTTATGTCTTAATTAGAATTTATCAATGAATCTAGATTAGCCACTGTTTTCCACAAGCCTCAATGAGACATTCTGCTCTACAAAGAGAGTCGTTAATAGCTAAACCAGACGCAGTGATTATAAAAAGATCATACTGAATAAAAGCACGGCAACTTCTAAAGCAGCAGTTCTCAAGTTCATGAGCCCTTTGGGGGGGGGGGGTCGAACGACCCTTACACAGGGGTCGCCTAAGACCATAGGAAAACACATAATTATGAAGTAGCAACGAAAATAATTTGATGGTTGGGAAATGTTTTAAAGGGTCGTGGTATTAGAAAGGTTACGAACCACTGTTCTAAAGCTATTTATGACGACCAGATCTAAAAATGATTTCAGGTTCAATTCTAATTTCTTGAACGTTTGTTTATTTAAAAAATAGAATCCAAGGCAAGACTCTTGGTTCAAGGAAGTACGACAGATTTGTTCTCCATCTTTGCCCATCACATTTCACTCACAAAGAAAAAATTGGATTTTGTAAAGTTAGATAGTAAAAAACAAACAAACAAAAACAAAACAGGCATTTTTCCTACAAATAGATTTAAATCCTAAAAAGAAAGTTAATATATGTTAATAATTACAAACAGGCATAAAAAATAATGTCTTAGCAGTGTGACAGAAGGACATAAACTCTACTTCCATCATCTTGTTTCAAACCCTTTTCGCCTCTTCTCAAAGCTTGACGTAGTAACACAACTGTAGTACGACGTCATTGATCTGTCCGTCTGGATGGTAGTCGTTCTCATACAGGTCCTTGTTGTAAGAGCTCTCCGTGTCGACCACCATCTCCTCGGCTTCAACGGTCATCCCTTCCACCTCCTGGCATGTGCCGTTGTACCTGTACAGGTAAAATGGTCGGCCTTTCGGGAGCACGACTTTAGTTTCCGGCAGTCCGTCCGAACGACAGCAGTAGTGAAGCGTCGTCATGCTGGTCGAGTAGGTGCCGTCAGGCAGGTCTCCAGCAGATCTTCCCGCACCGTTCAGGTCCTCCTCGTCATATCTGATCGCACCGGAGTGAAACCCGGCCGTGCAGTTCCCGCCTTTCCGGTTGATGCAGTAGGATCCCTGTGGCCAGGCTGGGCCGGGGGAATCGGTCAGCACACAGAAATGCTGATACAAAAAGTTGCCTGAGTAGTTTTTCGCTAGGAAGGGCGCCATGAAGTGGGCGCCCCACGATGCGTTGTTGTGGTTGGCCAGGTCTGACTCCGTGTGGAACTTCTTGTAGCCCGTGGTCCACTCGGCCGCAACATTGAAAGGGCACCCGGACTGCGGAGCGAGTAGGGCGTAGGTGCCTTCTGGCCAATACTGGAGCATCGGGTGTTCTGCAAGAGTGTCCAAGTTTGCCTTCAGATCGTTCTCTTCCACAGCAAATCTGGCCACATCATTCGTAAAGTTCGCTACTTTGTCTTCGAGCACTTTGATCTTCTCTATATAGTTCTTCTCAATGTCTGCCATCAGCGAATTTCGGTCTACTCTATCTCTAATGATAAGCTCTATAACATCGCTGGACGTCAGATTCGGCTCGCTTATTTTGACCTCAGGTGACCGCTCAGTCACCCCGCCCCCCGACGCCCCCACACCCTGAACTTCACACACGAATTGTCCGAACACCTCGAGAGTAACAGCTCGCCACGTGATGCTCAGGTACGAGTCCACTAACGTGCCCAGATAGCACGTGACGTTGGGGGCAGTCGGGTCATTCAGTGTGATAACGGTCTGATTGTTGCTGAGCGCGCCCACCGCAACGGGGTCATCTTTCGGGCTGGTTCTCCTCAGTATGGACATTTTGAGCACCTTGCTGACAGCACTCGTGCTTTCATCACCCCAGTATCTGCATCCAAAAGTCACATTGCTCGCTAAGTCAGGACCTGACTTCAGAGGGCTTGTGGTGAGAAGAAACGAACACTGACCAACGGTCATCAAAGCACCAACAAGGCTTAACAGCGTAGCAAAATATGTGGACGACATGACGATTTCGTTATTGTCTGGAATGCCGGTAACATAAAAAGCTTGTGATGTATGAATAAGAAGAGGTCAAGTGAAAACGCTCGATATTTCTTCCCAGCCCCAGGGTCAAACTTTAAGGCTCCAATCTCGCTGTATGGGGATGACAATAGGGCTGAAATTGAACTGTTAATAAAAAGAGACACCAATAATAAATTAGAATAATAACTTTTTCGTTGGAAAAATAAAGCGTCTCTGCTTCAGTGGCGTACCTAAGGTATAGCAGATAGGGCAAATGCCCCGGGCCCCACTTGAAGGGGGGAACAAAAAAACTCATTTTTTCAAAGTGGCAGCTTCTCATCTGTGGGGAGCACAGTGAGTTTCATTTTGTTCAAGGGAATTAGGGGATAAGGGGTGGGGTGGGGTGGGGGGGGGGCGTCCACCCATAAAATCTAATTACGCACACAAAAGGTGTCATGATTTTTAATTCAATATTTTTGACCTGCTTATTTAATTTGATATGCACACAAATTAAAACAATAATAATAATTTATTACTCAAACGAACATATGAAATACATTATAATAAACCGGGTAACATACTCAGAAGTCTTAAATATTATTAAAAAGAAATGAAATAAAAGTCATTTTGAGTACATTGTTTTAAATCAGACCTGCACAACTCAAAAGCTAAGGCGTGCCGTTATACTTTAGGAAACACTTGTGCGGGTGTTAGCCGCGGGCCGTATGTTGTACAGGCCTTCTTTAAATAGCCACATTCCGAGCTGGATCCAGAAACTGAATGCATGCTAAAAATTTATTTTCTTTGACTAAAAAAAAAAAAAAAACTCGCTGGAATGTGCAATAATAGTTAACTTTCGGTTTATTTTCGGTTTTGGGTGTTAGCCGCGGGCCGTATGTTGTACAGGCCTTCTTTAAATAGCCACATTCCGAGCTGGATCCAGAAACTGAATGCATGCTAAAAATTTATTTTCTTTGACTAAAAAAAAAAAAAACTCGCTGGAATGTGCAATAATAGTTAACTTTCGGTTTATTTTCGGTTTCAGCGAAAAGTGAATGAAACCTTCGGTATTCTACCAGATGTAAGATTGTCACTCTGTCAACTGGCAATCCGATATTCATTTTTTTTGCGCGACTTTTTGCTGTCATCGTATAATATGCATCAAATACTATTCACTCTTCCTATTGACAGCTGCATGGTGACTTGTCTAATATTTCCAAAAATGACATTTATACACGGTGTGAAAGCAAATAGTTCTGTCACAAAAACAAACTTAGGGCATGGTCATATTAATATGATTACTTTTGTTTTAATGTTTGTATGTGTTAAATTGAGACCCTTAGGTTTATTCAAATCATTCACTTGTGACAGAAATTTGGATATATCATTATCTTGCTCATCAATGTTGTCCTATTCAAAGGTCAATAGGTCAATAGGTCAAAGGTCAATAGGTCAAAGTTCAATAGTTTTGTCAACAAAATATCCTAGGAAAACGGTAACATATCCTTTATTACTCTTAAAATTATTCTTTTATTCTTTTTATGTACTAACCTGTACTAACCTGTACTAACCTGTACTAACCTGTACTAACATATACTAACATGTACTAACATATGCTAACATGTACTAACCTGTACTAATAAAAACCATAATTATTATGATGTTGAGTCTTATATATTTCATCTTTTAACACAAATTTTAAAGCCTAATTTATATTTTACCCAATTTCAAACAAGTCATTGACTGTTATGGCAATAATTTTACAATTCACTTGATTATAATTCTATAACAAACGATAATAGCCCTGGGCCTATATCATACTAAATAACACTAAGACTAAAAGTAAAAGTAAAGACACACATGAAGTAGGCTAAGTATTGAATATACAATGCACTTATTAGCAATTAATCAAAATTAATTATTAACTAGATAATAAAAATACTAACTTAAATTAGGCTTTTAAGAAAGTTATAAAAAAACCCAATATAGCAGTATTAGTTTATTAGGCTATATACTTCAAACCTACTGTACCAATTTTTTTTTTATATTGTAGGCCGAGTATTGGGTGGAAGTAAGCTTAAATTAAATTTTTGGTGTGATATTGATTTCTGTATTCTAAAATTACATTACAAAAAACAAAATTATTAGATTTATTCATGTATTGAACTGTTACAGGCGAAGTGTGTAATCCAGTCGTTCTATAAAAGGCCTAGTCAAAGTGTAAAAGACATCTGCCATTATACACCTTGCCTAGGCATTCTATAAACTTTGACTGTAACAATAAGATGAAAGAATATAAAATATCTCATATGGATTGTGATCGAGAGCTGTTCACAGTGAAGATATAAACAAGTGGTCAAGTTTATGTGTTCTGTCCGGTAATGTGTGTGTGTGTGTGTGTTTGTGTGTGTGTGTGTGAGTGATGACAAGCTGAAAGGGCTAACATTGAACATGGAACATGTCAAAGAAAATGGTCAATTGACTAATTCAAAAGTGAATCCCGACCCAATTCGGATGGTAAGCAGGGATGTTTAGGTTCCAGTAAGCAGGGATGTTTAGGTCCCCTTAAGCAGGGATGTTTAGGTCCCAGTAAGCAGGGATGTTTAGGTCCCAGTAAGCAGGGATGTTTAGGTCCCAGTAAGCAGGGATGTTTAGGTCCCAGTAAGCAGGGATGTTTAGGTCCCAGTAAGCAGGGATGTTTAGGTCCCAGTAAGTTCGGTTGGCTAAAAAAAATACTTAAGACGTTTTTAGCTTACCGATGGTCAAAGTGACACTGGGGTGGGGTTGGGTGTGTGTGTGGGGGGGGGGTCACTTCCTTGTGTAAATTGTATAAGCGTCACTTGAGACAAATAAACATTACTAGAGAAGTTGATCCGTCATTTTCCGCGGTGCGCAGAACGTGTGCGAAAACGAGTTTGAAATTTTTACATCTTTGTGTTTCGGCCGAAAGTCTCATCAAGCTTTTGGTTTCGGCCAAAAGTCATTTTTAACTTTCGGTCTAGTCTCGATATCGGCCGAAATCAGAAAATCACTTTCAGTCAGTCTCTAATACACTCAATATAGCATTCTATTTTTTAAAATTTTACTTGGAATGCAATTAAACGGGATTCTTAATTATCCACTCCTAAGACTTTACAAGTAGCCCCAAATTGAGCAATTGCTAATGCATATTTAAAAAATGATTCTACCCCCCACCCATGGGCGCCCACAGATAGGGCAAGGGGGGCACTTGCCCCCCTTAGATTGATTGGATACAAATTTTAGACAAAAATAGACAAAAAATGTATTAAAGTAAAGAGAAAATAAAGAGAAAGTAACTAAGCTGAGGTCCTGTCCGTTCGTTCACCATACAAATACGCTACCGTAAATTAAAACTACATTAAAACATTACTAAAAATTTTTTGCCCCCCCCTGGAAAGTTAATCGAAAGTTTTCTGCGGGCGCCCATGCCCCCACCGCTGGCTAATAGGGCGCATAATACCCTAAGTACGCCCCTGCTCTGCCTGAGACATTTTCCCCCATCCCTTATTAAGTTGATGAATATTTGGCTTTTAAATTGATTTTTAATAAACTAAATTAAGTGGCATTATAATATAGGATACAATTCCAAGAAAAGATTAATTGATCGGAAATTGATGTGCCTACATTTTATTAATGATAAATTTGCTAAGACAAATAATCAATCTTACCTATGAGAGATTCTTTTGTCTCCTTAGTCACACAATACGTTTTTTTAAAATATATTTTACTGTTAAAAAATCTTCTTAATTAACTACACGATACATTTGACAAGTAGAAAAATATCCAGTTGCTTCATTTGCTAACATAAAAATAAGAAATGTTATCGTCCAAATGTATAACTCGGACCAAGTTTCCGAAGGACTTTGTGACATTTACAGGGATTCATAAGCGTTGCTTGTTCACCAACCCCGATAAAGGAAATATTTACCCATAAACAGACTGCATACGTTAATAAAAATTTGAATAATTTCATGTGATTATGTACAGAACTTTGTCGTAGTTAAGTTTGAAGCAGTGATTCTCAGGGTCTCGTTTTGGAAGCTCCTTTCCTGTCCGAAATTTCACCTACATTTCATAGGCCCCTAAGTTGAATGATCAATCCTCATCTCAGGTGATTATGTAAGCATATCAGATGCCAGGCTCATGTACGTCACACAAAGTGCTAAATAATTCATTCAATGATATTTTTATATAAAATCTGTCATAAAATTTTAAGATTTTACTTTTTTCAAATGTTAGCAGGAGGCTGGCAACAAACCCAGATGTGGAAATAAACATATAGTCAAAACTGGAATAAGGATATTATTGAAATCCCGCGATACCTTAATTTCTAAACGGATTAGACACAGAAGCTGCTATCGATCATGGCGTCGCAAGATTTTGAAATAGGGGAGTAAATAAAAACATTTTTGAGCATTTTACTCATAGTATGAAAGATATTCCGAAATAAATATGCAGCTATAATACAGTCCATATGACTTGATGACTGAAATAAATGTGCAGTTATAATACAGTCAGTATGAATTGATGACTGAAATAAATGTGCAGTTATAATACAGTCCATATGACTGGATGAATGAAATAAATGTGCAGCTATAATACAGTCGATATGACTTGATGACTGAAATAAATATGCAGCTATAAAAAATTCCACATGACTTCATTACTAAAATAAATGTGCAGCTATAATACAGTCCATATGACTTGATGACTTGATGACTTAATGTCCTTCAGCTATAAAATAAATGCACTTAATTCTAGACAAGTAAGATATAAATCATACAGCTGTATAGAAAGCCTCTGCACCTGTGCATCTTCCAAAACTGATTTCTAAACCTGGATCCTTACAGAACCTGCGCTCTTCAACACTGTCCTTACTGAGAGTTCACAGTGAGGATGGACACAAAAAGAAGTCATGCGGGATGCTCTATTTTGAAGTGATTGCGCCTAAATTGTCGAACAGTTGGCCTCAAATCTTTAATGTAATTTGAAAAGGGTGAAGAGTCATTTAATAAATAATTAAAGATTTAGGACATCAGAGCTCTGTGAGCATGCTAAAGTAGCACCCGCTAAAGTAGCACAGGCACAAACGCTATAGAAGTACTCAATCATCAGAGCACTGTGAGCATGTTAAAGTAGCACAGGCACAAGCGCTATAGAAGTACTCAATCATCAGAGCACTGTGAGCATGTTAAAGTAGCACAGGCACAAACGCTATAGAAGTACTCAATCATCAGAGCACTGTGAGCATGTTAAAGTAGCACAGGCACAAACGCTATAGAAGTACTCAATCATCAGAGCACTGTGAGCATGCTAAAGTAGCACAGGCACAAACGCTATAGAAGTACTCAATCATCAGAGCACTGTGAGCATGCTAAAGTAGCACAGGCACAAACGCTATAGAAGTACTCAATCATCAGAGCACTGTGAGCATGCTAAAGTAGCACAGGCACAAACGCTATAGAAGTACTCAATCATCAGAGCACTGTGAGCATGCTAAAGTAGCACAGGCACAAGCGCTATAGAAGTACTCAATCATCAGAGCACTGTGAGCATGCTAAAGTAGCACAGGCACAAGCGCTATAGAAGTACTCAATCATCAGAGCACTGTGAGCATGCTAAAGTAGCACAGGCACAAGCGCTATAGAAGTACTCAATCGTCAGAGCACTGTGAGCATGCTAAAGTAGCACAGGCACAAGTGCTATAGAAGTACTCAATCATCAGAGCACTGTGAGCATGCTAAAGTAGCACAGGCACAAGCGCTATAGAAGTACTCAATCATCATCGTCATCAGAGCACTGTCAGCATGCTAAAAGTAGCACGGGCACAAGCGCTATAGAAGTACTCAATCATCATCGTCATCAGAGCACTGTCAGCATGCTAAAATAGCATGGGCAAAAGTGCTATAGAAGTACTCAATAATCATCATCAGAGCACTGTGAGCATGCTAAAAATAGCACGGGCACAAGCGCTATAGAAGTACTCAATCATCATCGTCATCAGAGCACTGTGAGCATGCTAAAGTAGCACAGGCACAAGCGCTATAGAAGTACTCAATCATCAGAGCACTGTGAGCATGCTAAAGTAGCACAGGCACAAGCGCTATAGAAGTACTCAATCATCAGAGCACTGTCAGCATGCTAAAGTAGCACAGGCTCAAGCGCTATAGAAGTACTCAATCATCAGAGCACTGTCAGCATGCTAAAGTAGCACAGGCACAAGCGCTATAGAAGTACTCAATCATCAGAGCACTGTCAGCATGCTAAAGTAGCACAGGCACAAGCGCTATAGAAGTACTCAATCATCAGTGCACTGTCAGCATGCTAAAGTAGCTCGGGAACAAGCGCTATAGAAGTAATCAATCATCATCGTCATCAGAGCACTGTCAGCATGCTAAAGTAGCACAGGCACAAGCGCTATAGAAGTACTCAATCATCAGAGCACTGTCAGCATGCTAAAATAGCATGGACAAAAGTGCTATAGACGTACTCAATAATCATCATCAGAGCACTGTGAGCATGCTAAAATAGTACGGGCACAAGCGCTATAGAAGCACTCAATCATCAGAGCGCTTTGAGCATGCTAAAAATAGCATGGACACCATCGCAATAGAAGTACTCAATCATCATCATCATCAGAGCACTGTCAGCATGCTAAAATAGCATGGGCAAAAGTGCTATAGAAGTACTCAATCATCAGAGCACTGTCAGCATGCTAAAATAGCATGGGCAAAAGTGCTATAGAAGTACTCAATAATCATCATCAGAGCACTGTGAGCATGCTAAAAATAGCACTGGCACAAGCGCTATAGAAGCACTCAATCATCAGCGCACTGTGAGCATGCTAAAAATAGCACGGGCACAAGTGTTATAGAAGTACTCAATCATCATTGTCCCCAACGTTTTTGTGCTTGGCTGTAACTAGCACTATGTCTGATACTTTATGTTCAAATGCTTTTCAAAAATACTTTTTTTAAGAATTTAAACCTGCTAATGTTGGTTTGAGAACCTCCAAGATGAAGAAAATACTATCATTCCCATGAGAGTTATTTAGGAGAAATCAGAGTTTCCCCTAATCTTAATATCAGACATTTTGATAACAGTATCTCTCGAGATGTTATAACAGTATCTCCGGAAAAGGTATAAAAAGCAAGACATGAGGCAAAGCTTGTATTTGTGATACATCTCATTGTATTGACATACAATCTAATCTCTTAAATTATGGTGTTGTAAGCAGTGGCGTACGAAGAGGGTGCGGAAGGGCGATCTGCCCCGGGCGAACCACTTTTTTTTTATATGGAGGGGCAGAATTTGTGACCAACTTCATATTTTTTCGTTGATGGGAGGCGTCAGAAATCTTGGCCCGACTGGGGCGGCACTTACCCTGGCCACGGCACTGATTATATGCAATCATTGTCTACACAGGTGTTAACAACCTAAGGCCCGTGGGCAACATGCGGCCCGCAGGAGCGCTTAATACAACACGTATTTAATTCCATGACCAATGTTTGATTATCTGCATTACTGACTAGTAATCAATTATAAACTATTTTCTTTGATCTTAATTTACTTATTTGCAATTTATTGTCTCGAATTTTCTTTAACTTTTCATCTCTCTGAAATTATTAATTATATTCAATTTATTCAAAATGTGTTCAATTTATGATCTTAAACTCTTGAATCTAGAGGCCTAAAAAATTATAAAGTGGCCCGCAAAAAAATTAAAATAAAAAGAATTATATACAACCCTCTGCAAAACCATGGTTAGCATGTATCTCTGGAAATAGCAATGAGCAAGACATAAACAGACCTTGCAATGACCTTACAATGACCTTGTAATGACCTTGCAATGGCCTTACAATGACCTTACAATGACCTTGCCATAACTATTCGAGTCAAAGTAGGGCCACTGCATACGATTTTCTATAATCATCGTGTCATGCAGTTATTCCTATTAGTATGACATATGAATCTGGTGATGACAGGAATCATGACATTCCACACAAGTGGCATATTATTATGACACCAATTTGTTCAAAACTAATTAATTTGTGCGTAGAAATTTTGTTCCAAATTTATTCAATTTGGATTTTAAAAATATATTTTTCTTTAAAACAAAGGAATATAACTATTGAGTAATGTGCAACATTAACATTTTAAATCCATGTATGTTTATTTGTTTTTTTCACTCTATTATTTCCGTTCCAACAACATTCCTTCGTACAAATTGGTTTCATGCTCATTTCCGGATATAGCTTAAGATTATAGGGAACTAGTGCGTTGTATGTGTACATTAGCAAAGATGCAATAGTTAGTAACAGCGGTGTAATAGGTAGTAGCAACGGTGTAATAGGTAGTAACAACGATGTAATAGGTAGTAACAACGGTGTAATAGGTAGTAACAACGATGTAATAGGTAGTAACAACGGTGTAATAGGTAGTAACAACGGTGTTATAGGTAGTAACAAAGGTGTAATAGGTAGTAACAACGGTGTAATAGGTAGTAACAACGGTGTAATAGGTAGTAACAACGGTGTTATAGGTAGTCAAAGGATTAAAACGATTAACTTAAGACGGTACCGTGGAATCAACTCTCGGGAATCGTTTTCAGCTCCCAAGTTTTCAGTTTTGTTTGTGTGTGTGTGTGTGTGTGTGTCTGTGTCTTTCCACAATTGCGTCTGAACATTTTCATACGATTTGTTGTAACAATAAATCGATCGAGTCAAAGTGGTATGTATCTGCTTCATCACCCCCCCCCAGTGGTATGTATCTGCTTCATTACCCCCCCCCGTGGTATG